AAAGGGGAGAAAACTATTCTGATCGTCAAGTGCATTGTTGTATACATAATGATATAGTTTCGCTTTCTCTTACGGTAAGGACTCAGTCTAAACCATAATATTTCACTCCAGCTTGAACATCTTAACATAGTGTATAATATGAGGGGACATTAAGACGTTTCAATAACAGTTGTCAAAATTAAAGGTCCATTAAAGTGGATTTTTAACGTTTTTCTCATCATTTTTAAAATACTTCATCTAGTTCATTTAAATCTGTGACTGGTGCGTTTAGTTTTACAGTAACAATTACAACACAAAAAAAGCCTCGAAAGTCTGTACAGCTTTCGAGGAAAAATGATAGAAAGAAAACAGAAGGTCACATTTACTTCTGAATCTGTTAACAGGCCTCAGCACATGATCGCGTGGCGATGGAGGATTTGCAAACGGCAGCCGAATGTCGTTTTGCACTGGAAAACTCTTCTTGATGTCTCTATCGGTGGCTAAGAGGCGACCTCCCTTGAATTCCCTCAGTGCGTCTTCCACAGCTTTTCCAGCCCCATAGATCAGGTTTCCGTCGATGTATGGCGTAATCTCGTTCAGCTAAGGAAACATGTTCGACTCAGTTTGCGTTTAAAACACCCTACTAGACACAAAAAAGTTATCATATTTCGAAGGAGGAGGGCACTGTCCAGCTTCACAGTAAAGTGAGGGGAAAGAAGGAAGAAAGATGGCAGAGAAAAGCTAGTAAACTATACGTGCAAGATACACGTTTCTCTGATCATAAAGGAGTGTACGTGTTATTTCACCTTTGCCGCTGTTTGCCATAGGTCCGTCAAACAAGTGCTTGAAGCACGAGTCAATCAATTGTTTGAAGAGATATTATGCTTCTCTTGAAAAGAAATACATAGTTACTACGGCAACAGAAACGTCACTGATATCTGTTGCAGAAAAATACAACTAGTGAGACTGTATTGGAAACAGTACGCTCAACAAGCCAACGATCTGTGCACATAATACAAGAAAACAACGAAAACAACATAACCAAAAGCAGCATCAGCAACAACAACAAAAGTGAGAAACTACAACATCAGTGAGAACTGAACAACGACTAAAGCAACAGTCATGAAAATATGTCAAAGTAATCAACAGATAAGTATTAAAATTATAATTAATTAAATAGTCGTTAACGGAAAACCAAAAACAGAAGAAGAAGAAGAAGAAGAAGAAGAAGAAGAAGAAGAAGAAGAAGAAGAAGAGGAAGAGGACGAGGAAGAGGAAGAGGAAGAAGAAGAAGAAGAAGAAGAGGAAGAGGACGAGGAAGAGGAAGAGGAAGAAGAAGAAGAAGAAGAAGAGGAAGAGGACAACAAAATCGTCTCTGAAAAGGGTACAAAGGACAGTTTAATTAAGGAAATTTCAAAGCACCTTTGAAATAAAAGCATAGGCTTGCCAAATCCTGGCATGACTGACCTGTTGTCGTGGGTTGTTGGGCGAGAGGCCCGTCCTCTGGTCATAGCGCGCTCTCAAGAAAGGCATCTCGAGGTCGTCTTTGTTGCTCGGGTTATACTTGTGACCTTTAGGTACCCGGATGTTGAAGAATTCTCGGGGGCAGCCTGGTCTTTGGGCGTCCATGATCTCTTCCACTAACTGCTGACCTGTGGAAAAAAGGGATATCGCCTTTTCGGTTTATGCCAAGCAGTTCAAATGTTGAATGCAAAACAGAATAGACACATCATCGTCAATATGAAAAACAACCTTTAAGGTTCGCGCAAATGTGTAGGCTTATGTTTACATAGTCTGTGAAATATGTTAAAGATCATAATATTCATAATACCTTTAATTCTTGGATAATTTTTTTTACTTTTGTTTTGCAACACAAGACCAAAACAGTCACAAAAGGTTGGAGTTCGTTTTCGAAAGTGCGATAATCAGTAATTAATGACTTTGTTAAAAACTTTTGATATAGATTTCTTCTTTAAATTTCTAGGAAAACACATCTATGATTCTTCCTATTTGCGTTCATAATGACATTTCCTTTATTTCCTTTATCCAGCGGGGGACAGAAAGGGGGGGGGGATGATAGTCACGGTGATAAGTCCAAGTCAAAACGATCGGACAACAGCCTACTAAAGTACATACGTACCGAAAAAGACAAGCAGAGCATTTCGAGATCGGTCAGACTGTAGTCCGTCTTTCCCATGGAAGGCAATTTTGCTGATGTCCAGAGGGTTGGGCCTGTTGGGTCCCGAAGGCTCGTAAACACCATCGCTGTAGTTTGTGGGGCTCCGGCGTAGCAGGTGGGTATCTGGCAAAAGTCCACAGATTTCAGGGATATAAATTATGCTCTTGAGGTGGTTAGCTCTTTTTGTGATGCAGCTGAGGTGGTGAGCGTGACATAGCTGTTGCTAAGTGATTGTTGTTTTTGTTGTAGTTGGTTTTGTACTGCTGCTGCTGGCAGAGTAGTTGATGATGATGATAATGATTCACTGTCAAGGAGATTAAAAGTAATGGAGGATGCTCTGTGGGCCGCACCGCACGCCTGATAGGAGCCCTCTCTCGCGGCGGAACCGTGGGCTAC